TTTCTCCCGTGACTCTTGCCTCAATTTAAAAATGATCTAGCAAAATATTCATTTGCTTAAGTGATTATTGATTCTCCCCCCACTGGACCAGGAAACCAATTGGGGAAGATCCCTTGCCAATTATTTCCAGTGCCTCTGCACAGTGCCTGCCTGTCACATAAATATTTGTTGAATGAATGGAGGAATGAATAAATGAGTGCATGGACGATGAATGAATGGTAGCACTAAGGACTCTGGATTATAAGTGTGTCAGTTTCCCCTCTAGACAGCAAGACATTTGCATATAGGAGCCTGTTCATCACAGTGCTGTATCCCCATTGCCTACACAAGCTTGACATTTACAATAAATGCAGGTGGAATTGAGTAAAATCAGATTGGAGGAGACAGATCAGGGCTTCACAAGCCTGAGTGGAGACCCTGGAGGCAGCCTTCCCAGGCAGACTGGATGCAGATAAACTGATGTGGCAGGGACGGGCCTCGGGAGGTATGGGAGAGGGCAGCTTAATGAAACCTAGGAGACTTTCATGTAGAAGGAGCAGAGTGCAACACACACAGAGACACCCAGCCTGGGAGTCAGAGAAAACAATTCCAGTCCTAGATTACTTTAACTGGGGGTAGGACCTTGGATGTACCACCTTTTCTCTCTGAGTCTCAGGTTGCTCATTGTAAAAGTGAGACAGACCAGATTATTTAGAAGGTTCCTTCCAGCTGAAACATTGCACGGTACAAAGTTTGACATTGAAAATAAGTGCCAGCTAAGGGAAGGTAACAAGCATCTTGCGCTGTCTGAAGGCCTGAGGCCTGTAGTTGATTCACTCCAGGCTGGGCCTCCCCCCCCTCCCCCCATCACATACACTCCTATACATGTGTGCTCCATGTGCACTCCATGTGCACACAGAGGCTGCACCAGCCCAGGGCCCGTCTCCACAACCAGAGAAGAGCCAGGCAAGGAGGGACAGAGAAGTGCATCCTCAAGGCTCCATGTGTGATCCCACGTCCAGGACAAGACTAAGGGCCAGGACAAGAAGGAGGCCCATCCTCTGGAAGCCCGGGCCCACTTCCACCAACAGCTTGGGGGAAACCCACCGCCCAGAGTCCTAGACAGAATTTCCAGCTTGGCATTTTCTTCCTCCTCCCTAGAAATCAAGCCGCCTTTCTCATGGCCATCAAGAAAAATCTAATTTTCATGAGGGGGTAGAAGCAAGCTACCTCTTTCTAATAAGTTTGTTCCTGGTCTGGGAAATGCCTGCATGAGATCCCGTCCCCAAGCCACGGGTTGGCATTCGAAATAAATGCAAGTTCAATGGAGTAAAATCAAATCAGGAGCCAGGGCAGGGCAGGAGCCAGGCATAAGGGGATGCCCGGGGGCAGCTTAAACTGATGTCTCAAGCTAAGGCTCGCCTTGACATTTTTAAATGACTGCATTTTACATAGTTATGTAAGTACCTACAATAACAGCCTCACTTTGCCTCTTGGCCTGCAAAGACTATAATGTTTACTATTGGCCTGTTTCAGAACTTTCGCCCTAAACAATCACCGAGTCCCCTGCCATCGGTAAAATTGAACTCCCACTGTGGTCCTAGGGAGCGGCACCAGCCTCCAATTCCGGACTCCGTCCCAGAATAATGGCGATGGGACATGGCAGCCACTCTCCTGTAGCCCGCTATTCCCATTTCCCTCATCCTAAATGCCCTCCCTTCTTCCTAGCCCCACTTCCTGGTCTCCAAAAGCTCCCCTTTTCTACTCCAGTGTCCTCTCCCTTCCGCTCCTGACCTCTGTCGCTTCATTTCGGAGGAGCCCCCTCCAAGGCACTTGATCACTAGTCTTGCATGATTTGCTTTTGTTTCACCCGGATTGCTTCCCCACTGAGGCTGGGAAACATATAGAGGCAGGGACCACGTTCTAATTTTTGTTCCAGTATCCCCAGCACACTCAGGTAGCTGCTGAGTAGATGTGTGCTGCTGAGGTGCCACTCCAGAGCAGAGCACCTGAAGACCACCCTGGGTCACACTCCATTGTGCACAGCCTACCACTTCTGGAGGGGACCTAGAGCAAGGTGTCCCTGCACCAAGAGAAATACTTTGCTCCATACATACCACGCCTGGGAGTGCTAATGTCATTAACACTAACGTAACTCAAAGCCCAACTGTAGGGAGAGATTCCTGTACCCTGCAGAGGTAGCAGCTGATCTGAGAGATACAAACAAACTCTTTTCTTAATATTGTTACAAATATCAGGTGCATAGATTTAAGGCCATGACTAGCTGCACATTTGCAGTGTTTTAAATTTTTTTCCTCGCATTTCAGCACATACTGGTAATGAATGTATCTCTCAGATACATGCAACCTACGCTGTAATTTTTTTGACCGCTAACTCTACAGGATCCCCAAGGCACTCTGTTTCATTTTCCCCTCCGGGGATTGTCGCTGGCAGGGTGAATCAAGGATCTGGGGCTCATAAAGCATGAGAAAAAAAATTTTTTTTTTCTGCAGTTGTTATTGTTTTGGGTTCAGCGATCACAGAGGCAAAAAGTAGGCAGTGAAAAAGGGGCAGGATGCTCCGCAGTCCTCACACCGGTGCACGGGCCAGGCACAGCTCTGCTCTCCCTGCTGTGGCTGTGACCGAAGCTGGTGGATTCTACACCCGGGGGCGGTTTCCTGCTGTGGGGGCCAAGAAGCAACATCTGGATAAAGAACTTGGCTGAGGCCACTTGATCTAATCTCCTCAGGAACTAAAGGAGGTGGGAAATCTATGAGAGCAGAGAAGGGGAGGTTGGGAGAGGAGAGGAGGGGCCGCTTCCCCTTACCTCAGGTGGCCTGAGAAGAGCCTTGACATTCAGCTTTCATTTCATTTCAAACAGTGCGGCCTTTCCCAGAACCATAGCAACAGGTGCGCTCACAAGACAGACAGACCGAAATACTGGCTCTGCCTAGTGGGCGCACCTCCCAGTATCCCAGGACAGATAGCACATCGCAAGCCATAAAGATGAGAGACTGCCACAGGGGACGGGACACCCAACTCTGGAACCCCCCTGATCCCCTTTGTAAACCTGCTCTGCAGTGCCCCCTCCTTTTACCCGAAATAGGGAGACTCACTCTCATTTCCACCACTGCAACCCTGAGGGTCTGTACAAGCTTGCGCCCGTTTACTGGGCATTTAAAGATACAGGCTGTCAGGCACCGGACACGTCTAAGATGTTCTCTTTCTTGCTTAAACCTAAAGAAACTGACCTTCAGATGCAAGCTGGTAACTTCTCTGTTGCCTTTAAGGGAGGGTTGAGCCTGGAACTGGGTGACCCGGTCCCAATCATGCGGTGTGTGCTAAACTCCACACATTAGCTTCAAAGCCATAGCAGGCTTAAAGGTGAGACTGTGTGGAGCTGGGCTTTGGCAGGATGCCCTGCCTTTAGGCAGATTGTAAACGATAAATAAATGAAGTGTCTCTGTTCTTCTTCCTTTGTCCCAGCATATAGTGACGAACAACAGAACCCTGCCTGCACAATCCTATTTCCTCCTCAGATTTGCTGCTAAGAGCTTCTGACTGGAAATGACTCTGCTCAGCCACAGGCGCTGGCTTTATTATTGTGTCGGCATCTTACTTAAATCCACAATTCCCAGAGATCAATTTAGCAGTTCCTCCCTCGCCCCATGGAGACCCGGATGCTGTCGTGGGGGGAAGTGTGACTGTGGACAACCTGCCCACCCTGGTGAGGAGGTAAAACAACCAGCCTTTGGATTAATTCAGCAGAAAAAGCAACAGCAGGAATTGGGAGCCCCACGGGAATAGCTAATCCCAAAGAGAAATTGCAGCCAGTGTTATACCTACTGTGATGTTTTTCCACAACCATCCAGTTAAGAGGAAGCGAAGAGATTCATTCTGAGGTTACAAATTACTGAAGACAAGGCAGAAACCAGCCTTTAGTGTGGACAAGCAGATCCTTCCACTTGGCCTCTAGCTGCCTCTGTCCAGCCAAGGGCAGTGCGTTCTCCGCCACAGCGCCGCTGGCAGGGACAATATAACAGGTGCTGCTCCTGTCCTCAAGACTTTCACACCAGAGCCTCGTTTTATGAACAGGCTTCAAGTCTGAGACTCAGGCCTGTTTCTCAGAGCTGTTGAGAGCAATAGTAAGACTTATCACCTGCAGATAAAGGAGAGTTCAGAAGTCCAGCACCAGGAGACCACAGTAGTTTGGGGTGGTGAGGGGGGACTGAGGGGCCTTCTCACCCTCTGCCTTTAGCTCCATCCCACTCTACGCGGCTGGGTCTGATACCACCATGTCACAGGGGTGGGCATGCCATCCACAGAATTCACTCCCCTGTCTGTGAGCCACAGAGGGGACCCGGAAAAAAAAAGTGGATGATCAAATCATTAGCATTCCAAGTTTCCTACTCCAGTCAAGGTGGCATTTGGTCTGCCTCCAAAACCAGAAACAGCAAGTGACAGACTTTTTTTTTTTTTAATTTCAAAAAAAAATGCATCAGCTGTAGAAAAACACTTGCCTCGACCAAGCAACATTTTATTTCCTGGGATAAAACAAAGAGAATGAATTATCAGAAGTCTTTCTCCAACATCATTAACATGCTTTTCAAAGAAAGTTATAAGAATTGTTTAAGGCACACAGAAAATGTCAGAGTTGCCTTTCTTCCAGAACATTCCTTGCCCTAGATGCAAAGCACCGATACCACATCCCAGAAAAGAGACTTACAGACACAGGAACCAGAACCACTGTAACCAGAGCCTCTGGCTCTAATGTAATGTTCACAGAAAAACATCACAGGAACTCTCTCTTCCATAAATACAACATATGTCTTGAAAATATATCCAAAATATCTTCATCTGAACTATAGTACAAAAATCCACTCACTAGCCACAAAAATATTTCCCCTATACACAAATATAATCATATGTAAAGCAAGTTTGGAACACATGGATGGAGGGGTTACAAAATGTCTTGGGATCTGGGCTATTTAAAGTCATTTTTGTTTGGGTTATTCCTCTGCTGGGTATATGAAACTGGCTACAAATACATCCATCTCGTAGTGCTCACCATTTTAACAGCTCCTGCGTCATGGAATGTGGTACTTTTTAAAAATAGGCGACCCTTGGAGTCATGGAAAGAAGAGGAAAAATGGGGGTATCCAAGGAGACAGGGAAGGAAAGGAAGAGGGACAGACTTAGGTTAGAGGGTGAGTTTGAAATACTCTGTGGTGTAAAGTAGATATTTAGGTTTAGGAGGCTTCTGCTGTCCCCACCAGTCATCCTGGATCCCTCCTTACAAATCTGTCTCCCGGCTGGTGTCCAGGCAGAGGGCATACAGGGACCTCCGCAAGTCCACATTGCTCTTGGCCTTGAGGTTACACTTCTCCAGGGGGCTGCTGTCCCTCCGGGCTCCCTCCGCATTTTCCAGGGACCCCTTGCAGAAGGACCCTTTGTTCCAGCTGGCCTTCCGCTGGCCTCTGCTTTCCGGCCCTGTCCCCTGGCTCTGGCTGCTCTGCTCCTCCTTCAGAGCCGCCTGCTCCTCGTGGTCTGTCTCGCGGTGGTAGAAGTAGTTGAAGTTGGAGACAATGACGGGCACCGGCAGGGCGATGGTGAGGACCCCAGCGATGGCACACAGTGAGCCCACGATCTTGCCCCCCACAGTGACTGGCCGCATGTCTCCGTAGCCCACCGTAGTCATGGTGACTACTGCCCACCAGAAGGCATCCGGGATGCTGGAGAAATGGGTATCCCGGTTGTCAGCCTCTGCAAAGTAGACGGCGCTGGAGAAGAGGATGACTCCGATGAAGAGGAAGAAGATGAGCAGGCCCAGCTCCCTCATGGAGGCTTGCAAGGTCTTGCCCAGGATCTGCAGCCCCTTCGAGTGGCGGGAGAGCTTGAAGATGCGGAACACCCGGACCAGGCGGATCACTCGGAGGATGGCCAGGGACATGGCCTGCTGCCCATTTTGGCCACCCCCTCCGCCGCCCCCTGGCTTTTCGGCCAGCTCCGTGCCCAAGGTGATGAAGTAGGGGAAGATGGCCACCACATCGATGATATTCATGATGTTCCGGGAGAACTCTGCCTTGCTGGGGCAGGCAAAGAAGCGCACGAGCAGCTCGAAGGTGAACCAGATGACACACGTGGTCTCTACGATGAAGAAGGGGTCCGCCAGGGTCCTAGGCAGGAGAGGTGCCACCGTTGGGCCAGAGGGAGGAGCCACGGCTCCACTGCCGTTGTTGCCCCGGGCCGGCCCGGCAGGCGCGTGGGGCGCCGGGGGATGGCGGAGCAGCTCGCGTTCGTCCCTGAACTCCGGCAAGGTCTCCAAGCAGAAGGTGATGATGGAGATGAGGATGACCAAGACCGAGACGATGGCGATGGCCCGTGCGGACCCCGAGCTCTCTGGGTATTCAAAGATAAGCCACACTTGGCGTTGGAATTCGTTGCGGGGCAGGGGCTTCTCCTCTTCTTTAATGAAACCCTCGTCCTCCCGGAAGCGCTCCATGGCCTCGTCCCCCAGCTGGTAGAAGCGGATCTCATCGGCAAACACGTCCAGGGAGACGTTGACTGGCCTCCGCAGTCGGCCCCCCGACTGATAGTAGTAAAGGATGCCGTCGAAGCTGGGTCGGTTGCGGTCGAAGAAGTACTCGTTCCTTAGGGGGTCGAAGTAGCGCAGGCGCTTGGCCGGGTCCCCCAGGAGGGTGTTGGGGAACTGCGCCAGGGTGCCCAGCTGCGTCTCGAAGCGCAGCCCGGAGATGTTGATGAGGACGCGCTGGTGGTGAAGCGCCCTCGCGCTTAGCACCGGATCCTCCGCCATGCCCTGGGCAGGGTCATCTTCTGCCTCGTCCCGCGATGGAAGCTGTCTAGGCTGCGGATGCTCCTGAGGCAGCGGTGGCACAGGCCGCCCTCCCGGCTCCGCGCACCTCGGCGCGCCGCGTCCCCTTGGCGCCGGTTCTTTGCTCCCATCGCTGAGCCCAGCCGTCGAGGGGCACTGGAGCTCTCCCGCTGTGGCTTGGCCACAGCCTGCCCGGCCCTCGCTGCCTCCTCTGACAGTCATGGCCCCGCCGTTCTCCAGGGGCACCAGGGAGATCTCCATGGCCCCGGGGCCGGGGGCATGCTGCGCCCCCGTCGCCCCACTCCCCAGCCCGCCACGCACACCGCGCGAGCGCCCCGCGTCGGGCTCCTCTCCTGCAGCCGGCCGGGCGCACAGTGGGGCGGGCTGGGGCTGCTGGCGCGATCCCCTCGCTGGGTCCTGACGTCAAGAAGACGCTGCCCTGCTCTCTGCCTTGCTCTCCGTTCTGGCAGCCAGTTACCAAGCAGCCAAAAGCCTCCTTCCAGAAGAGGAGCCTCCAGCCGCCGCTCTCGGGCTGCGCGGCGGCGCTCGGCCTCCACTCGGCGCGCCCCTCCCCCCTCCTCCCAGCCGCTCCTCCTCCTCCTGCCTCCCCTCGCGGTACCCGGGCAGCGGGCGTCTCTCCGGAGGGCGCAGCTGCGGCCCCGCGCAGGCGAGGGAGGGGGCTGAGAAGCCCGGCGAGAGAGGGAGGGAGAGTGGGAGGGAGAGGGAAGGACGGAGGAACAGGTTGTACCGAGAGCGCTGAAACTCCCGGGGCAACCAGATGAGAATAGCTGTGGATTTCAGTTCACCTGGGAGCCCGCTGAACGCAGAGCGGACTCGAGGGGGAATGAATTGTCATGGGGTGAAGGGATGAGGCTGTGGCTGCGTGGTCGTAAGAGAGGAGAGACGACAGTCCTCCTCACATTTCTGCCTTGGAGAAATAACGGTTCTCTCTGAGAAAAATGTCACATTGGGAGGGGTTTGGCGGGGCTACGGGCCTTGAAAGATTAGATAGAAAGAGAGAGAGATAGAGAGAGAGAGAGAGAGAGAGAGAGAGAGAGAGAGAGAGAGAGAGAGAGAGAGAGAATCTCCAGACCGAAGGAGAAGCGTCTCTCTTCCCCACTTCCTACAAACCTGCAGAAAGGTAACCGCCTGAAACCCGCAGCGTCCCCGCCGCGCCCTCGGGAAGGCGCTCTTCCCCAGTCCAGACCGCGGTGGTCAGCCAGGCAGACCCAGCGTTGCAGGAGTCTGGACATTTGCTGCCTGGTCTCATATTCTTGCAGACACGCAACGCTTCTGCCTTCTCCACACATCCATTTGCAAAAACCTTAACAGGGAAGGGAGGAGGGGGTAAAGAGATCCTGGTGAGAGCTAGTCCTGCCTTGCAGGGAGCTAGCAACTGCGGAGCTCTGTGTAGGGACCGTGTATGATATGAGAGAGAACCAGGGAGGCTGTGGAAGCCCCAGGGCTGGAGGACTCCCGGGAGCGGAATAAATAATAACCAGCACTTCGCTCTTATGATGCACCAGGCCCAATCTCGGCACGGGTGTATTCCCACAGCAGCCTGTGTTGTGAGTACTATTAGATTATTATCTTCATTGTATAGATGAGGAAAATGAGACCGAGCTGACTAACTTGCCCAAGATCATTCAGGTAGAGGGTGGCAAAGCTGGGATTCAAACCTAAGCAAGCAGAGTTTGGGCTCTTGCTGCCTCCACTCCACTCCTCTACAGACATGTGTAACGGTCTTTCAGATACAAACATACTCTCCACCACCCCCCTGCACCGCCCCCGCCCCATCAGGCCTGAGAGCTTGAGTTCCCTCCTGCAGGGCTCCGGGGGATGGCTAAGAAAACAGCTAAGTCCTTCCGGGTTAGCATACTAGGCTAGCTGCCAGCCTGGCTCCTGCAGGGTTTCAAGGAGCACCTATAGCCAAGGGAAATCTCTTTTAAGGCATGTGTGGCAGTTCCAGATGTTTGTTGGTTTTCAGTTACCGTAAAGTCACTATGTTTTTGCATGTCCATTTGATTAGTTTTGTTCCTGTATGTGGTTGGGAGTTTATGTATGTGGATGTTGCAGCCTCGTGTCTGTGATCTACACATAGGGGACGTTGGGAAACTTGGTACTAGGTGCACAAGTGTTTGTTGAAATAGCAGGGTGTGGACATACAAACTTGTGTCAGTGTGGGAGGAGTATGGGCATGTGGTTTTTTGAAGTGTACATGAACGTGGATGTGAATTTGGCAGATGTAAATGTTTCCATTGCGTGTGCCTTTGTGCATGTGGTTGCCTGGGCCTGCAGATGTGCGGGAGTGGGGAGGGGGCATGAAAGTGAAAATCAGCATGTGGGGCATCGCTCGACAGCCACGCTCCGCTCCCCGGACCTCTGCCGTTCCTGCTCCAGCTCCTCTGGGTTTTTATTTTCTCTGGCTCTGAGGTGGCCAGTCAGGATCGGGTCTGCCCCTGGGGGCCTGGGGCTTACTGAGCGGGCAGAGGGTGATCTGAGACCCATGGCCACGGCATCTTATAAATACAGGGACACCATATTGGGTCACAGAGACTCCCTAGGGGAAAATGCTCTCTGGACCTTGTCTTCCAGGGGCCATGGGGGAGACTGTTCCCTGAAGGATCAGTACAAGACAAACAGTCCTAGAAAAGCACGTAAGTCAGGCTTCCTTTAATGGGGTATTTTCTTAAATCTGCTTTCCATACATTTGACTAGCTTTCATAGATTTTTGCAAAATTACCTTCAGATGTCACATGTGGCAGCCATGGGTATATACTGCTAGGGTTTCCCTTAAAGAAAGAACTTATTTTAGCTTCAAGGAGTACAGTTAGCTGACAGCTTCCTTCTTGCTCTGCTTTGGTTTCATGCGGAGGCCACGCTCTTCCTGGGCAGCCCTCTGTCAGTGACGAAGCACAGCGGGCCGACAAGGCCTGGGCCCTTTCTGCCCAGTGCAGACTCAGCTACTATGCAGCCTTTGCTCTGAGCTCCCCGCTGGGTTGGCTGGGTCTTTGTAAGCAACACACTGCAGTCTGAGACACTCCCTACTCAACCCTCCTTCCTCCCCTCTTTCCTTTCACTTAAGTCAGATCAGCATCAGGGTCTGAAGGTTTCCCCTACCGAGTCCTGTGGGTTCTTTTATCTTTCTTTTGTTACATTCCAACAAACCTCTTGCACGTCTAACACCGTCTCATTGTCTTCTTTGGAAGAGGACACAGCTGATACATCACACAACTGAACCTCCTTTCTCCTCCACCCATCTAATCCCAGAAGATAGCTCTTTTACAGTGTTGCTTATTGTGCACATCACCTGAGCATCTTGGTAAAAGGTGAACTCTGACCTGGGGCGGGGTTTCGACTGCACTTCAAATGGGCTCCCCAGTGTCACTGATGCTTCTGTCTGAAGATCGCACTTTGAGTAGCAACCCCTCTCAAACCCCAAAGAATATCTCTGAAGGAATTATTTGCAGCACCTAGATGTCCCCAAAATGAGCTACATAGAGGAGGACAAATGGGAGGTCTTCTCTCAATTCAAGATTGGTCCTAGAAGAGCACAGGAGGAGTTGGAAGGCGTTCAGACCCAAGACTATTATTGGGAGAAGTAAGGCACTAAAAGAAAGTTGGGATGGAAAGGAGAGGAAAGGGAGAAGAGGAGGAGGAGAAAAAGTCCTCAATGCCACCTTTATTAATCCTTTCAAAAATGTGTATTGAGTATCTACTATGTGCAAGGCATTGCAAGGTTCTGGGACTATATTCATGACCAAGATGGACACATTTCCTCTGTGGGGTTATGTCCTAGGGAGACAAAGGATGTTGACAGAGTGTATAGTTTTATGTTGCTTAATTACAGTTTTATAGGGTAGTGTCCAGAATATAGGGTGCTGTGAGAAGAGTCGAGAGCTTAACCCCATCAAGGACTTTTCTGATGTGATAATGAGCAAAACAACCTATTCCAGGTGGAAAAGTATGTCCCAAGGCCTTAGGGAGGAAGGGACAGGGCTGGTTTGAGGAACTAAAAGAAAGTTGAAGTAGTTAACGTAGACGGCGGGGGGAGCGTTCCATGAGACGGGTCTAATGAGGCAGGGGAAAGCCAGGCCAGGAAGAGCTTGCTAGGTCATGTTTCATGATCTCCCCAGCAAAACAGTATAGTAATACCCTCTTTCTTCCAGCCTCAGATACTCTGCTTTGTCTCTATAAAGCAAATGTACCAGCATGCTTTTGTTTTTAAAGTTCTCCATTACATATTTTATCTTCTTATCCCTCTGCATTCCTGCTGGAGTATCTTTGTGTGTGTATATGTGTGTTTTTATACATACATATGTATGTATCTATCAATCCCATCTATAAATTATCTACTCTACCATTTATCTATCTATAGGTGACAGGTGGGTAGGTAAAAAAAAAAATGGATAGATAGAATAGAGTGAGATAGAGATAGCTTGAAATCAAGGACAACACTGTGCACATCTCTGATTTACCTTAAAACATCAAATATGATAACGAGTCTGTATGTGAATTTCAATAAGTATGTCTTGAATGCAATTGCCCACCTCCCTTTCCCACCTCCATTGACAAGATGCTGGGTTATAAACACACTGTGACTATTGTTCTCAGTCTCTCTTTTGCTCATATCCATCCTGTGGAGCAGAGAGAGCGGGGAAACTGAGGGATAGGAATTGAACCTTGATTTCTGAGATTAGCTAAATACTCAAACTGATTGTGGAAGTGGGACCTAACCAGAAAATTTTAAGACTCATTTGGATGACCTTATAGGGTAAGTGGTGAATTAAATCTGTTTTGGCCCTTTTTTCAAAGTTATATATTACTGCATTACTGCCTCAACTTTGTGGACTAAAACCACTTTGTGGATGGAAACACTTTAATAGTTTGGACTGTGCAATTTAATTCCTAAATTGAGATAGTGTTTGAGACCTCAAGTTACTGTAGCTCTGTTTATTATATAAGGATAAACCAAAAAATCATGAAATTGGCTGAAATTTCATGTAAGTAGAGGGGAAAGCTTTCCCCACTGGATAAAATATTAAAAGACAGGAGGAGGCAAAAATAAGATTCTGTTGAAATTGTGCCGCTAGTCTTTCCTGTCAAACATTGATTTCGCTCCTCTGCCTCAGAACACATTCCAGACATGGGAAACTCACCAGGGATGAGATAAGTTCTGAGCAATAGCCTGGACTACACATCCTACAAACCAGTAAAGGTAATAACTGGTCCATCCTGGGCCTAGGCCGGGGCTCAGGCTA